CAAAAAAAGAGAAGGATTCAGGGAACAGTGGAAGAGGTCCGGCTAAACTGCTTGGGCATATATTCACGAACAGTGCTTTGTTTAGGACGACTTTATTCTAACATGGACGGAACATCAGCAGCTTCGGAAGGCACTGCTGGCGTCGCTCAGTTCTTCAAAGCCTTCGTCGTTGGATGATGAAGATCAGAAACTGGACAGCATCCGCCAGATCACAGTGGGTACGTTATAGCTTACATTATATTAGGCCACGATGACTGACTGCCACCTGGATATGCATATGTTTTTGTAGGATCATTTTTATCCAACAACAGTTTTACCAGCGGCAGGATCACCGACTCGGTGTTGAATTACGCCGCTCGAAAATCAGCGTCCCTTTACTCAGCTGGCCACCAGGTGCTGGCTGACGAAGAAGACGAGGAAAAGCCAAAAATTTCACAACTGATGCTTAAGGATGCTGACCAATCACCTCGTATGTTGTGCCCGAACACTGAAGATTTCATTACGTACTGTTCATTTTTCGGTAAGTTCAACTGAACATTTGTGCTTAGTCGGCTATTACCGTCATTTAGGCAGCATCCTAATGCCTGAGGAAGTGAATATGTTCGATAACGTCACTTGGAAACCAGTTTACTCTGCGCCTCCACTAAAGGTGAAGCAAAACGGCGACGCTTCTTCGTCGCTAGTGGTAACCTGAATATTATATCCGAACAACGGTTTCAGTCAATCGTTTTTGTGTCATGGCATATTATTATACGTTTGTCATGTATGAACTGGTTTTGAATCGAGGGGCAACGTTTAGCATTTGAGGGGGCGAGGTTCGTCTCTGTAGTTCTGTGGTGGGGTAGTAGATTGTCTGCTAAACTTGAGAAATATGGTTAGTTTCGTTCGGTAATAATTGGACCGGATATTTGGACAAAGCAAAAATCTGACGCTTAACGTTTGACATGTTTACAAGTTTCTTCAAGAGATTTTCTCCATCTGTCCTAACTAAAATAAAGAAAAAATTATTCACCTCGTAATGGTCTTTTCATATTACACATCGATCGGATCAATACATTGAGATAGCATTAAAATAAAAAAATAATTCCGGTTTTCCATTTATTATGTTTTGCCAGTAATCCTGGTAATAATTGACACTAAGCATTATTATCAAACCGTTAAAATTTCTGAAGTTTCATTTTGTTATGTGTATTAAATTATGCACATTCTACACAACTTTGTATATGTCACTATAAGCTCATTGTCTCATTGGGGTCGAGATCTTTCAAATATTGGCAGCTACCAACTTCTTACTTATCAGTCAGTCACTGCAGAAGTCTACCGGCCATCGGTCAGTCGTCAGTCATGTGATTTGATCAGCAGGCAGAGGAATTGGGATTATTTTTGTGCATGGTCCAGAATATTAGAGGATTTTTATGTTCCGTATTTTTCCATCGATAACGCGAGCGTTATCTGTACCAAAAGTCCAGTCATCGTAAAAAAACAATATTGCGCGTTATGCAGTGAAAAATTAAAAACTTTTGGCCAACGCTTAAGGATGAACGGATACACAAATTGTTTCTTTTAATAAATCTAGAAGCCCATCATGAATAAGCTTCAAAATTTTCTATTTTACCCTCTTTTGTAACCACTTTCGCCTTCAGCAAAATGGTGGTTGTTGATGACACCTTATGTCCTTTCGATCACTCTAAGAGAACCCACTAGGAAAGTGTTTTTTCGAGCTCTGAACAGAAGTTTCTCTTGTACCTTACTGCATGTTTCTTCTGGTGTAAACATTTTAGGACGGCTTTTTGTTTCTTCCCTTCACGTACACTGGACTCTCCAACGTTAAGTTTCCTGGCTGCCTCACGATTCCCATTTTCTTTCTCGAAATTGGCTACTTCTTGCTCTGACAATGCTGTATAAAATTTTCTCCGCACAGTATTTTTTCTCCAAGGGTAATTTTCCCAGGAGCAACTTTCAATGTTAAAAACTAAACATTTGCATGATACAAGTGGTGAAAGTCCAGGATCAACATGGTGACTTGTTAATTTTTCGGTTCGTTTGTTTTAGATACAGCCACAGCCAGTCATATTATTGCATTATACATTTGTCTGAAAACTATCTTATTTCAGACAGGAAATAGACAGCGGCCTATCTTTACATTTTCATGAGCAATAAATATTACAGGGTGCGCGTTATCGATCTATTTTAACGAGCATAAAGAAATAGAAGATGCGCGGCATCGATGAGAAAGTACGGCAATAAATTATGCATCCTATGTCATGTGAAAGACTTGTCGAAGTTTTAACTGAATTCTCGCATAAACGGTCCATTTTCGTGTATGTAACGAGCTTTCAAATTTTCTACGCTTAATGGTCACTGCGCACTGTGATTTAGTCATGTATGATATTCTATCTTTCTCACATATTCTAATGAAAGGGCTCTCGTCATTCTTAGAATGCTACAGCATACCATGAATTCCCTCATGAGTTCCACTCAGCAGGGTTTAAGTGAAACTGTCATCACCTTCGGTGATTGTCTAGTATCTGTACTACTGTAGTCTGAACTGCAGGGCTGGAATGTTTGTGTTGAGCGCACTGCATTTTCAGGAGTCGACCATGTTGAAGTGTATATGAGCCCTGTCCATTTAAGAGAGTGACACATTATGTCAAAACGGCCTGCTCTTAGGTTCGTGTTTTATATGCAAATGTGATTTTCATCTCTCCTGAAAGATGGCTGCAGTGAATAGCAGGTAAACTTTGGTGTTCTTTGCAAAGGTCATGTTTAATACTATTGTTCAGCGACTGAGAAGTTAAAGTCTTCGGTTCCAACTAGTGGTAAAATCCCTGCTTCATGTTTCCAATTTCAAACATTTCCACTGAGTATTATTTGATAAGAAGTGCGTTCATTCGTTGATGCAGAGAGAAGGGATAGATGTACTGTTCATATCATTACAGCATGATAACCAGAGTCGCAAGGATTATAATTTGGAGTATACTAGTTGTATAATATCTACCTTTTGTTATTCTCATATGGGAGATTCCGCCAAGAGGAAATTCCTACTCTGAGTTGCACCAATACCGGAAACAAAATATGCTCAGTTTATTTACTCTGTACACCTCTTGGCCGTATGTAACACGACTTACGACAGACAAGTGTCCATCCACCGCGTGGTTCTTACCTCTGTTGTTCATTATGTTATTTTTGACACGGTTGCATTTCCACCGACGTACAGCACATTATTTCACTCCTAGTTGGGACCTCGTGCTCCTTCGTTATTTTTTTGCAAACCGGAAATATGGTCTTAAACACTCGAAACATTTACTCTGCATAAATTAATGTCAGGGGATTGCACGACGTTTTTCTACTGTCTGCTGTCATCTATATATTTAGAAAGCGGTGATTGGTCCATTTTTCAGGTAACATTCGTATTCATGTCTCGCAAATTTAAGGTCCTGGACCTCACTCATTATGAGGAATAACTGTATACTAACGATAATTGTTTAGACAGTAATATGTTTTGCTCCCCAACAGTAGTGTTAGTTTTATCCATTGTACCCAGTCATCTAAAGCACAGACAGACCTTTAATTTATTATACATTAGAGGCACTTCTTGGCCTAACGTGCCATTTAATTTACCATATCAGATTTTCGTTATTTCCTCCATGTTTTTAGGAGGTTAAGCTAAGGAAGTTGGAGGCGCCGCGTCCGAAGAGGCCGTATCACCGGAGAGTTCCCCTGCCCAAGCCATCTGAACGTCGTAAAAGTACCAGCAAACCGCGGGGCCGCCAGTCTTCTAGAAAGCGAACCCACGGCTCAGCCGCTGCGCACAAAATTCGAGCGAAGTACACGAAGCGCAAATCGAAGCATAAGCCGAAGAAATGTGAGTGTTAAAAACATATCAATTTCAGGTGCCATGCACAGTTCGTGACTTAAGCACTGTTGAAACTATTTTTATATCTGTATGCATTTCTGTATCGGTTATGATTGTAAAATCTTGTAAACATTCGTCGACCTGCCCATGAGTGTTCTAAGAGCTGTCCTCTTTTGTCATCTACACAATGGAGTTTTGCAGAACAGCCTTTTATGTTGATTAGAAAATTCTGTTTCTAGCGGATTATTGTTTGATATTGTTGGAAAGCGTTGCTCATAAGCGATGCAGAATGGGCAATAAGTTGGGCGTTTTGCCACACTATTGTTTTCAGTACTGTTCAGTTTCTACTGCTAGAAGTACATCGACGGTGTAGTTCTTAGACCTATCTTCAAGCCACTGAACCCTGAGGGGAGGGGAGGGGTGAATTTAACCAGTTCGTCTAGAGCAACAGCTTGGGAATCAGTCAAAGTAGAAACATTTGCTTAATCTGTCAGATGAATAGCATTCAACTAAACGAAACTATTATCAATATTCCGTCATTGAACACCCAATCAGGATGAAATACGGGACAATTTCAACTAGCATCATTGCGGAATAGTTGGAATTCTTTGAAAGAACTTGTTTTTTCGCTCACATGGTATCTTTTTACCTTCCTAGGTTAGTTTACCTACCAATGCTTCCACTGATTGAAGCAGTATTTGCCTTCAGATGTACCATACGTTTTTCACTTTCGCCTTGCCTGATAAAAGAGGACTTTCGTGGCGAACTAAATGTTCTACATTATGTTTATTAAAATCATCGCCTCGGACTGTGTATCTCAGCAAAACGTGTATCGTTTTGTCAATGCCCCTTGTATTAGCAACTTTTTAATACTTTTGCTGTAAGGCACCAGACACTAGAAATAACTATTCCTCACCAAGATCAGTTCTGCCTCTACCTTGTTCCTACAGGTTGCAAGCTAGCCTCTGGTCAACATCAGCACTGTTTCAGCTCCCAAACGACAAGCTCATGAGCCAGAGTAAATAGTTTATGCGCAACTAATTCATTTAATCGGGCCACCCTTCGTAATCCCTGAATCTACTATGATTAGGGTATGTTCTGTACTCAAAGCAGTATAGAGTGTATTCTTATATGATCTTGCTAAATAATCCTCATCGTACGCCAAAGACAACGCTGCTGTTCGCAGACAATTGTTGTTATTGCTCCTTCTTTAAAGCAGTTGTCTTCATGTTGTACAGTGACACTGACCTGACAAAAGCGGAAACATGCAGCCGGTTTTTCGTTCAAGCAGTAACTCATTTCTCATTCCAAATTTTGACAGGTTTCCAGAGGCACTCGAAGATAGGGCGATCCTCCAAATGTCCTGGATTGGAAATGATAGGTCGATCGACGCCGTGCAGCTCAGCGCAGCTCCATAGCCAATCGATTCATCACAGAATTGGCTAATATACCTACGATATTTTTTTGCACTGACTGATCATCAAATGAAAGCGAAAATGTAGTAAGCCCACTCCATTTGGTAATCTGTTTGCTAAAGTATATAGTTTGTTTTGAGATTAAGATTAGCAAGTTTGATTGCTTTAGTTCCCTACTTATTTTTTTTGCATTAATATGCGAATGAGCACTCTTATCCTGGAAATTTTCCTTCTACAGAACGGGCACTGATATTTGTTCTGTGATAACTGATAAACTATTATTTACCGTCCGTATTATGCACGAGTTTTCTGGGGATGTGGGGTTCATTTGCCTGTATTTGTCTTTGTAATGTATTATTTTCAGCAAAAAGCCGAAGTGCATTGCGAAATCAGAGGCGGGTGCAGACGCGCTCACATACCTCAAAGGAGTAACGGATATTGCTGCGATCATTTTGTAAATTATTAACTGCTGTAAGTATATATCAATAAAATTTCTTTTTTTTGGTTTTGCTCTTCTTGGCGATGCTGGTTACAACTTTCTTAAAGCACTTAGTTCCTTTGGGAAAAGTGAGCTTACGATATAAGTACACGGCTGACGGGCAGAAAAGAAAGTATGTCACCGTTGGAATGTCACTTTTTCTTCACTGTCATGATTCAGCCATTTTGTCACCCTAAATTTCATGAAGTTGGTGGTGCGGTCTGCTCTCTATTTCTATGCCATCTGCCAAGAGTAGTTACCTTTATTAAAGGTATGCGTCTATAACCATGTAGCAAGTAATCTCTTTACCTTCCTACATAAAGGTACTCATTTGTCGACCTCAGAAGGAAGAAGAGCGACTGACCTTGACCTGGGTTTGAACTCGCCACCTGTCAGTTCCGAGTTCCACCCTTTACTGACTGAGCAGTTTGAAGCAATATGTGGTAAATTCTTTGCTCAAGGGAATTCGTGAATCAGAGAAAGATTTCTCTCGAGCAGAGTCGAACCCGACATCTCCGGGGTTCGAAGCAGACCTGCTAGACGCTGTGCCTAGCATGCCACAGACCAGCTGAAGCTGCGGGTCAACGAGTCTGCTTCATCGAAAAATTCGCCGTCGGGATGTCACAGTTGTTCTTCATACGAACATCGATTACGGTATCGCGGTTCTATTCATTGTAATGACGTTATGGGTGACACGGTCTGTCAGTTGATTCTTTTGATGACGACGAATGACTACTCGGATTGGTCACGTAGTTAAGTGACGAATACGACGTTCACTACCGTTGGAATGGCGAAGAAATTTCAGTGGCAAATGAAAGGAACGAACGGCTGCAAAATATGCCATGCCCAGAAGAATCAACAGCAAAGTGTTCGCCACGAAGGTCCTAATGGATCAGGCCTTACGTTTAGTAGAATGGACATATGCAAAGCTCATCATAGAAGGACCAGTTCATATCGTTCAGCGGAAATATTGTCTGACGCTGATTTCGGTATTACGTAATGTTTGTCGCTTCCTCGTGTTAACTAGTTCAGGGGCATCATCGCGTGATCGAACGAATGCGTCCGGTTTTACGGATATCTCTAAACGGTGAGTGGTCAGTAACAAATGTTCACCAGTTGTACTGCTGGTATTCATTCATTCTATCGCTTCATTAGCTGGGCTAACAGATTACCGAAATCATGACCTTGTTAAGAATATGCAAGCTGATTGGTTTGCTAGTCCTGAAGGGCACGATATCACGGGGCCAGGTCTATGCAGTTAGAACTAAAG